CGAACCGATCCGTGGACGGATGGAGTATTTGGATGACAAAACACGTCCGGACCGTGTGATTCGGACGGATCCGGACGGTTTGAGGGTTAGAGATGCACTTAGCTAGTATGAACTAATTTATGACCAGATATAACAGATATTGTGAAACGTAACACATAGACCAGCTCAAAAAACAACAGTCGTTGACAGTACAAATCAGATCCTGTTCAGACGCACGGACATTTTAGAAGCAAAACAAAGACGCACACGTATGCTATCGTGGAACCATCGAGAACCCGTAGAAAACGTAAACCAAAACGCGAGAACCGATCATTCCAGCGCGAAGAGATGACTCGATCAGGAGCAGCTCTTGTCGTCGCCGTCGACGTCGCACTGCGGCACGGTGGCGTAGTAGGGCCCTGCCGAGTAGCCGACCTCGGTGGAGGAGACCTTCGAGGGGCGCAATAGATTCTCGCCGGTCCTGCCGTTGTTGAAGTTGGTGAACACGGCGCAGCCCTTGTCCCCCGACCTGACGATGCGGACGAGGCAGTGGGCCGGGTCAAGGCGGCAGCTGCCGCCGTCGTGGGCGTACGGCACGTCCACCTTGAAAACCCCCTCCTCGTCCGTCGTGTCCGTGCGGTGGATCACCGTCCGCCCCGTGTGCTCGTCCAGGCACGTCACCGCCACCACGCTGCCTGCAAATCATCGCAGCATACATATTCGTTGATCATGTCGTCGTCCGGTCGCCGGCGAGGAGCAATGGCTGGTACGTGCTAGAGATAAGTATAGAGGGTTCAGGCGAACCGTACCGGCGATGGGCTTGGCGTTGTAGGCGTAGGCGTTCCAGTTCTTGGTGCAGTCCTGGCACAGCACGGTGCCCGTCACCGTGAACTTGGACGCGCCGTAGCTGTCACCGGCGTCGGCGCACGTCGCCGCGGCCACCAGCACGAGCGCGGCCAGCATCGACGCCCTCCTCCAAGCCATTGTCGACCAAAGACCAATTAGCGAGCTAGCTCGATGGAATGGAATGGACGGGCCGGTGAGATGGGGTCGATCGAGCGAGCTGTGTGTCAAGCTAGCGCGCGTCGGCTTTATCGTGGAGTGGCCTCCCGGCCATGGTGGTCGACGTGAGCCCAACTCGCCATAGGCTGACGACGACGTGCGCGCCATTTCCGGGTGTCGGTACGGCAGAGTAGAATAGCCTCTTGTTTCAGCCACGACAGCACCGACGTGGACGCCGCACGCGCTGATGTGACGCCGACACGTGGGCAGGACGACCCAACAGCTTACGGTCCCACACGCCAGTGGGTGATCATCACACGCATCTCCTCTCCCTTTCGCTCACTTTCCCCTCACTGTTGTCAGCTTCTCAATTCCAAGAGTCAAAGCTCCGCCAGCAATGGCCGTGGCTAGCGCCGCCGAGCCGGGAAATCGAGGCGGGAATGGAGAAGAATCCGAACTGGAGCTACTGTCCGCAGCCTAACACTTAGCTCTGATGCTCGACCGAGCGAAGCCCTCTCCCGCCATGAGAGACCCGAAGCTCAAGACAGCAAGAGCCCACAAGCCGCGCCAGTGCCGCCTCCTCGACAGGCTCAGGAAGCGCTACTTCTACAGGTGGCGGTGGCTCCTCTGGCTGGCCCTCTCCGCCTACCTCTTCCTCCCGGCGCTCCCGCCGTCCCTCCGCGGCCCCAGCTCCGAGCTCCGCCCCGGCGTCCGGATCTACGCCTACAACCTGCCGCCGCGCTTCAACCAGGCCTGGGCGGCCGCCGACGCGCGGTGCGCGCGCCACCTCTTCGCCGCCGAGGTGGCCGTGCACGAGGCGCTGCTGCTGCGGCAGCGGCGCGCGGGCCTGCGCCTCGAGGAGGCCGACCTCTTCTTCGTGCCCGTCTACGTCTGCTGCAACTTCTCCACGCCCACGGGCCTCCCGTCGCTGGCGCACGCGCGTGGGCTGCTCGCCGACGCCGTCGGCCTCGTCCGCGCCGAGATGCCCTTCTGGAACCGCTCCGCCGGGGCCGACCACGTCTTCGTCGCGTCGCACGACTTCGGCGCCTGCTTCCATCCCATGGTGACCGCTGCTCGATCCAACCTCCAATTACTAGCCGTTTCTTGCTGTGCTTGCTGGGTGCATTCTTGTGTCTGATTTTGCTGCATAATGGTTGATCAATCAGGAGGATGTGGCAATCGCGGCTGGTATCCCGGAGTTCTTGAAGAGGTCGATCCTGCTGCAGACATTTGGCGTGCAGGGCCGGCACCCTTGCCAGGACGTGGAGCATGTGGTGCTCCCGCCATACGTGCCGCCTGAGGTGGCTCCTCGGGAGCTGCCGGAACCGGAGAAGGCACATCGGGACATCTTTGCCTTCTTCCGAGGCAAGATGGAGGTCCATCCCAAGAACATCAGTGGCCACTTCTACAGCAGGTAATTGCACAGTCCATTGGTCAACTATTCAGGCCCCATTAGTTCGTAAAGTGCATCAGCATATGTAGAGGGACAATGCTACATCTAGGTAATCAGTTTTACTTAATTATTATTGATTCATCTTGCTCAGAACTTCATGTATAACAATTTGGCTCGATGAGTCACCGTTGAAGTTTACAACTTACACTTTGCACTTGGGCCAGGAAGGTGAGGACTGAACTACTGCAGCTGTATGGCCGCAACCGGAAGTTCCATCTGAAGCGGAAACGGTACGACGGCTACCGGTTGGAGATGGCACGCTCCTTGTTCTGCCTCTGCCCGCTGGGGTGGGCGCCATGGAGCCCTCGTCTCGTGGAGTCGGTCCTCCTCGGCTGCATCCCTGTCATCATCGCCGACAACATACGCCTGCCGTTCCCCGGCGTCCTCCGGTGGCCGGACATCTCGCTGCAGGTGGCGGAGAGGGACGTGGCCGGCCTAGAGGCAGTGCTTGACCACGTCGCCGAGACCAACCTGACGACGATACAGAGGAACCTGTGGGACCCCATGAAGCGGAAGGCGCTGGTTTTTAACCGCCCGATGGAGGAGGGAGACGCCACCTGGCAGGTGCTCAAGGAGCTTGAGGCGAAGCTGGAGCCGTTGCAACAGCAGGGGCGGAGGAGGTGAGGCAACCGTGTTCGGAGAGTGGTACCGTCGCCATCCCTCAGTGTGAACCTCTTCTCTGACTTCACTTGTTGCTTTGATATGTTGGCCATATGTGCTCTACTCCCATTTCATCAGAAATGAAATGGTAACATATTATCTACTTAGCGATGACATTGCACGCATGCAGGATCCATACCTAGCACTGACAGTTCCTACCGGCGCTCCCTCGAAGCCGTGCTGAAAGTGAAGGGCGGTACCGAATCCGAGGACAAAGATCTAAGCCTTCTGTGTGAACGCTGCTACAACAGCAAGCTCGTTTGCGTTTCATCTGAGCGGAGTGATTCCTCAAGCTCAGGTTAAACAAGTGAATCATCGGTTGCAAGCACGAGAGCAAGCGATCGAACAGGAGGAGAAAGAACCACAATAATCGGATGTCGAAGCCAGTTTTCCTGGTTGAGATTCGCATTTGGAATAAAAGGTCACTAGAGCTCAGGCTGTTGAAATTGGTCCCAGGTAGGGGAAGATATCAGTGGCAGTGGAATTCGTACGTGCGCAGGGAAGAGGTGACATACAGCATAGTCGTCTCCTCCATCGAGGCGACGGTCACCGCCCTATGGGTCATGGACTGATCATGGCTGAACGGATTCCAATGCCGGTTCACTGTCTACAGCGCCAGCATGGGTCAGGAGGAAGTCTTGTTGCCGCCGATGGCGCGATTCAAGCTCTCACGCCGTGTTGTTTCCGTTGAAAGTTCCGAGCAGCTGGTGGTTTCCGTGGTGGCGTGGCGCGGTGGCGACCGGGTTGCGACGAGGAGGGTGTTCTTGACGCCTGAGGATGCCGGTAGGAGATATGGTGAGCTTGACATGGGCTTCTAGATGAAGTCACCGTCGCTTGGTCGCTGTTCCTCCCTTGTTTCCTGAGAAAAGATCTTCCTGCAGACGAGGTGCCTGGCGAGGCTGGTGCCAGCACTGGATAGTAGCAGGAGCTAGTGGCATTATGGCAAGTTGCTTCTGAAATGGCGGTGTTCGGGAGCTCACTGTTTATAGTTAACATAATTCCCTTTCTGGTAGTCGAATTTGTCCATGAAGTGGTTTCATTTCGAGCAACCTGATAATATAATTTGTTCTCTTACTCGACTCTTGTCCCTCGAATTGAAAGCGACACAAATTCAGAAGGCCATGCCAATCGAAATTGATGCGCAAAATCATTCCTCTTTCACAACTTGTTCGCAATTACGTCGACGAGGCCCCAAATCAAACTGTAACTCAGCGATGCAGAAAAACAAGAGCAAGTGTTCGCAAGCCATGACTGAAATAAAATAACACAGAAGAGAACAGGAGTCGACCTCTCCTGACCACTCAGTTTTTCGCAATACATGGGGTTCTTTCTCTACGTCTTCAGAGGAGCAGCATTTGGTCTTTGCATCCTCTACCTATGTTCAGTAGCAGAGGCATGATAAATCCTAAAAAAATGGAAAAAATTATATTTATATGAACTTAGCAATTAGCATCATAGCATGAATTAAAATTACTTTCATTTCCACAAGTGCGAGACGAGTCAAAACAGCCAGAAAACTGATTAACCACAAGCCACTCTTTGTAAGTTCACATATATAGCAAACTTAAACCAAGATATCAGCATCTCTAACTCTTTGTCAGTTGTCATCCTCATCCTCATTATCTTGCAGCAGAGCTCCTCGCACTCTTGCCCTAAAGAAAGAATAGCATACATTAGAGCCAGTCTACTATTATCCGATGTATTAAACTCTATTCACATCAAAGTAGTGTTTCAAGGATTGTTGTACAACCTCCGAGACGTGGGGGCTACCCTCTTCGTGACTTTAGCAGGAGGGGCTTTACTAGGTGAAGGTACTGCAGATTTGCAATTGCATTAGCTGATACAGTACTATGTTATCCTAACTTGCAATTCTACATGAAGAAGAAGCATGATCACCTGATATTTGCTGCTGCACAGGAGCTGTAACTTGGTCAGAGACCAGAGTCACAGCAGACACACTTGGAACCTGATCAGCCAACAGCTTTGGCTTTGTTGCCTTTCTTTTGTCTAGGAAAGAAAGAGATTCGAGTTGTTTTTGCATGATTTCGTTCTTTTCCTGTGACATGAAACTATAAGAAACATCCCAGCAATTTACATTCCCATTATCCAACTATTGAGCAAAACAAAACTACACAGGAATTGCTTCGCCGTTATACAGAATACATGCTCATGACTCTGAAGAAACATCACATGCAAACGACATATCACAATGAACCTCAAACGATATATGGGGAGCTTCAAAACTGGGTCAATCGTGAAACCAGGATGTTTGAGCTTTCATGAAAGCTTTTGAGAGAAAGAATGGATTGCTGAATGTAAGCATTCGTATACAGCGAATTCCCACAGATAATGTTTTAGGGTGCAAAAACATGCCAGGTAGACTTTGGAGCGCTTTGGAGTAACAAAACCTTGTACAATGGAAAGCTGTTAAACTACACTGTTGATTGTTGAAAACTATTCGACAGTTTAACAAGAAAATACGTAGATTCAGTGAGTGACACTCATGATACCATTTGCACTACTGTATTCGTCAAGCAGCAGCAATAGCAACACGAACAACACTAGTTTGGAAGTATAAGTTCGGAGTTAGGAGATAAGATGACCTACTCTTTCAGTTGACAGATTTCCCATCAGCTGTGACATTTGTTCTTGTTCTGCATAAGAAATAAATAGCAGATCCTGAATATAGTTTTGAGTCACAGTTTGATGTTTTGTGAGCGACAAACGAACTAACAGATAGGCAATTAAGCATACAAAACAGCAAGCAACAACAACCTTTGGATACAAGCTCCCGTGCAGTCCTATAAGCTCCATAGAGCGCTAGCGAGAACTCGGCTATGATATCACTCGTCGTAGCGCCAGTAACACTATGGAGAGAAATGGTGATGCGAGGCAGGCCCTTTGCCTTGGTAGCCACAAGCTTTGCACCATCAGAACCTGAGCAAAGCAAAGATGGCATTATCTATCATGTAATGTTTGCCACAAGTGAAATGAATATTTGGCGAATTTGAAGTGGGCATGCCGGTTGACTTGCGGAGTTTGTCGGTGGCGAAGAGCAGCTTCACCTCGCCGGAGGACAAGGAGGACTTGAGATAATCTAGAAAGTCGGCCCAGGAGCCCCCGATTCCAACATCGTCTCTCTTGGATCGAGAAGCTTTGTGTTAGCACCAGTTGGATGCAGGTAGGTGCAGAAGAGGATGGGTAAGGAAGGGGGAGCTTACGAGGTCGTCGAGGTCGGAGACGGAGAGGGAGCAGTCCCAGGCGAGGGAGTGGCAGTCGGTGGCGACGACACGGAGGGCGGCGGCGGAGCGGGCGTGGGCGCGGAAGAGGACGGGGCGCGCGGTGGGGTGGCCCTCCGGCTTGGCTTCGCCGAAGACCGCGCCGAACGCATCCTCCAGGTCCACCGCCGCCGCCATCTCGCAGCTGGACCGGACGGCGACGACGAGCGGAGGAGGCGGAGGCGCGGGCGCCGTGTCTTTCCCCTCGTCCTCTGGGTTTGACGCGGCCACAACGAAGTTACGTAACGTGCACCTGAAAACGTAATTACGTGCCGGTAGTTGTTTTTCGTATCCTGCATTGCAAGCATACCTGAAATCAGTTCCTGAATCGAGCAGATTAATTCCAGACATTTTCTAGACAAAACTGGGTAACGTAGCTCTCGTAGTTCATCAAGTTTTTTTTGGATGGTCTTCTCGCAAAAAAAAGAGTTTTTTTGGATGGTCAAAAATCATCTTTCAAATGATTTAATATGATGTTCATTGAGGTTTAGCTTGTTGGCTTCCTCCTCCTACCGTCGGCGCAGCCACCGGTCCTCCTCATCACCGACGGACTTTGGGCCATGGAGGTTTAGAGGGCCTCGGGCCCCCACCGGTGGGAGAGACCGCGTTCTCGTTCTTGTTAGTTTCATCGTCTTGGTTGAAGTTGTGTGACGGCGGCGATGTCCCTCAATAGGAATAATGTCTCTCACATTCTATCTCCATTCCGATGGTGTGTCTAGTTTTGTTGGAGGGCGTGTGAAGGTGTGTCTCCATCGGATCTCGCAAAATTCGATCGGTGCTGGTCTTTGGTGGATCTATTTGGACCTCCCTTCGTTTGGGTGTTTACACATTTGATCCTTCCAATCTACAACTTTCTTCATCGGTGATGGCTACTGCTCTTGTGTGTTGTTCCAATGGGGTCTTAGCATGACGATTTTCCGACTATCTACTACAATAAGGTTTGCCCAGCTCCGGCGAGGGAGGGGCAATGACGACGACAGGTCTTCGACTCACTGCAGTGCTTGTAGTCGTCGCTAGGTGATCCACGGACCTCATTGTAATTTTTATTACCTCTGGTCTTCTTTGTACTGCCATGATTAAGAATGAATTTGAAAGTTTTGTTGCAAAAATTCTTTTTTTGTCAATGCTTATGAAGAATTTTTGTGGTGAACTTCTTGAGTTATGCCCATTAACATGGAGAAGAGCTTTACAGAGCTAGTGAAAACGGCTAATGTAAGTTCATCCATGTTATGCCTTCAAACTTTGTTGTAGTACAAATATTAATACTCATCACTGCCTGAACTCCTGTTTAGTTTAGCATTTGCATCAAACTGCATGTTTTACATCAAATGTCGGTTTTAGTTTTTGGTTGTACAAATAGTTGTCTATTCATACCATGCATATTAATCAAAATAGAGTCTATGGTATTATTTAGCCTTGGATTTATGCTTCTGTTGTTGATATGTATTCCAGTCATGCGGTGAAGCTGCACACACATACACCGTGTCATTTCTTCCTTTGTCTTAACTGAACTGAACGATGATCTTAATAATTTCATTCTATTTTAAATTGTATCTCTTGATTTGCCAGTATGAAATGATATGGAATCAACAGTACAGTGACCATAATTGTTTATATACATGCAAAACATGTTGTTTGTCTGCTTGTTTATCTTTCAGATTGCTAACCCACATATGATGGCAAGGTCTCCTGAAGATAGTGATACAAACCCATTGGGTCCTCTTACATTTGATGCAACTAAGAAGACAAAACATTTTGAATATAGCGAGACAATCCCAAAGTCATGTCTTGATGTTGTGTTCGACATACTTGCCACTAGCAATGACACAAGCTCGTTGAAGCCGCCGCCTGAATCAGTTCGACTTCTTCAGTCTCAGTTTCAAAGCGAAACATGGTTCATCTCTGCTCCGGCCGTAAGTCGAATCTCCAAGGAAGATCATGGAGAACTCGATTGCGCACACTATCTTTAACCAGCTAGAGCTCGAGGATATAAGCATCAAACAAGGGCAGTTTCATCAACTTGCTCAACAGCTTCGGCGCAAGGTTAACCTTTTTAAGCTGCATTGATGTGGACTCAGTTCTCTCGACTTATTTTGTTAATGCATTTATTTTCATTGTGGCAAACATTGATGCACAGTGAATGTAAATTATGTAATTTCCTATTGTAAAAGCATACGCTTATTGTTAATTATTGTATGTTGTTTCCTGTCGTCCGCTAATGAACCAAACGTATCATTGGTTGTAAACGAGCCAGACCATTGGCCATAAATGGGTCGAAATAACCATGGGCCTTAAATGGCCTAGGAGCACCATGGGACATAGGCCAAAAGCACCACGAGACGCGAATGGACCAAAAGATACAACATATCGTGAATGGCACCAAGCACACGACGAGCGTAAATGGGCTCAAATACACCACGGACAACAAATGGGCCAAAATACACCGCGGATAGCAAGTGGTCCATAGACACCATGGGCCGAAAATGGCCTAGAGATGCCACGAGCTGAAAATGGGTCGAAAGACACCACGGGTCGTTAGTGACCCAAATGTCACCATGACCTGTTAATGGGCCGAGAGACACAAGGGGCCACATGTTGAGTAACCCACATGCCAGTAATGAGCCAAATTCACAAAGGTCCTAGCACGCCATGTGAACCCGAGCCATAAATGGCCTATATGCAAGCAGGTCGTTAAAAGGTCTTCCATAGGTAAAATCCACTAAGGTTTGACTTAGGCCGATGGGCTTTAACCAGGCCTTTGATTGGACTCACTTTTTTAACTAAACGATACTCTATTGAGCCATGCCAACTGTCTTTAATTAATAGGCACATGTGGTTCATTTTATGTGTGGCACTCGTTCCAATGAACAACCAATACGTGACACCCTTTGGCCAATAGGATTTCGGCATGTAGTGGATTAGAATAAGGTTGCGTTGCCAATGGGTATCTGTAGGACCTTGAAGTATGTCTAGAGGGGGGGTGATTAGACTACTTGACCAATTAAAAACTTAACCTTTTCCCAATTTTAGAGTTTGGCAGATTTTAGCAAACTTTGGACAAGTCAAGCAATCATCACACAAATCAAGCAAGCATGCAAAGAGTATATAGACAATGGAAATTAAAGCATGCAACTTGCAAGAAAGTAAAGGGAAGGGTTTGGAGGATTCAAACGCAGTTGGAGACACAGATGTTTTTGGCGTGGTTCCGATAGGTGGTGCTATCGTACATCCACGTTGATGGAGACTTCAACCCACGAAGGGTAACGGTTGCGCGAGTCCACGGAGGGCTCCACCCAGGAAGGGTCCACGAAAAAGCAACCTTGTCTATCCCACCATGGTCGTCGCCCATGAAGGACTTGCCTCACTAGCAGTAGATCTTCACGAAGTAGGCGATCTCCTTGACCTTACAAACTCCTTGGTTCAACTCCACAATCTTGTCGGAGGCTCCCAAGTGACACCTAGCCAATCTAGGAGACACCACTCTCCAAGAAGTAACAAATGGTGCGTTGATGACGAACTCCTTGCTCTTGTGCTTCAAATGATAGTCTCCCCAACACTCAACTCTCTCTCATAGGATTTGGATCTGGTGGAAAGAAGATTTGAGTGGAAAGCAACTTGGGGAAGGCTAGAGATCAAGATTCATATGGTAGGAATGGAATATCTTGGCCTCAACACATGAGTAGGTGGTTCTCTCTCAGAACTGGTAAGTTGGAAGTGTAGGTTTGTTCCGATGGCTCTCTCCACGAATGAAGAGGAGGTGGAGGGGTATATATAGCCTCCACACAAAATCTAACCGTTACACACAATTTACCAATCTCCATGGGACCGAATCAACAAACTCGGTCAGACCGATTTAGTAAACCTAGTGACCGTTAGGATTTTCGGTGGGACCGAAATGCAACTCGGTAGGACCGATATGGTTAGGGTTAGGGCATAACGTAATCTCGGTGAGACCGATTACACAAACTCGGTGAGACCAATTTTGGTAATTAGCTAACCAGAGAGTTGGTCAGGTAAACTCGGTGGGACCGATTTGCTCTTTTCGGTGAGACCGAAATGTTACGAAAGGGAAACAGAGAGTTTACATTGCAATCTCGGTGGGACCGATCGCTCACTCCGGTTAGACCGAAACGTTACGAAGGGAAATAGAGAGATTACAATCCCATCTCGGTGAGACCGAGATCCCTATCGGTGAGACTGATTTGCCTAGGGTTTGTGGCAGTGGCTATGACATTTGAACTCGGTGGCGCCGAATAGAAAGAATCGGTGTGACCGATTTTGACTTTAGGTTTAGGTCATATGTGGATGTGGGAAAGGAGTTGAGGGTATATGGAGCATATCACTAAGCACATGAAGCAAGAGGCTCATTAAGCAACACGTCATCCCTCCTTGATAGTATTGGCTTTTCCTATAGACTCAATGTGATCTTGGATCACTGAAATATAAAATGTAGAGTCTTGAGCTTTTGAGCTTGAGCCAATCCTTTGTCCTTGATATTTTGAGGGATCCACTTTCATCATCCATGCCATGCCATTCATTGAGCTTTCCTGAAATATTTGTCTTGGAATAGCATTAGCTTAATGAACTATATGTTGTTATGAATTACCAAAACCACCTAGGGATAGTTGCACTTTCAATCTCCCCCTTTTTGGTAATTGATGACAACATATAGATCAAAGCTTCGACAAATGATAATAAGATTGAAAAACATCGTCGCTTTGAGAAGTATGTGATAAGCAAGAGCTCCCCCTAAATTTGTGCATATTTTAAGATTTGCTTTGGACTGTAAATGCACAAGGAATTAGGCTCATGGGTTACTCTTCCATGTCACATACATCTTGGTGGAGGGCTCAAAATAATAAAGATTTAATACATGCACTCATCACCAAGCAAAGTGAATGATCATATAAGGATAGGTAAGATAATATCATCAAACATGCATAAGTGTAGCTTATGATCAAACGCATGATCATCAATGTCTTACAGGTAATTGCATAGTATCTCAAGCAATCAAAAAGCAAACAAGTTTAACCAAGAAGACAAGAGAGAACAAAAAACAGCAAATCTCTCTCTCGAAGCCTATGATCTATACATTTTTCTCCCCCTTTGGCAACAAGTTACCAAAAAGTTCATAGAAA